CAAAGGGCTCCAGGGATAGAAAAATGCCCACCCCAATAATATTTAAATGTAGTAATAATGGAATAATAGGCAGCCACTAAACTGCTTGGGGTATAATGAATCACTATTGGCTACACAGCTTAGAACTGATGGGGGAACTGCAGTCCAACAGCATCCAGAGGGCAACACACTCTCCATCCCTTTTTAAAAAGCTGGAATAGAGAGCTAAACGGGGATATTTTCAGGAACAAGGCATTCTAGCTGAGAAGCCTTATATCAGAGCTAAGCTGACAACACTTTGCTTCTCCTTCCATTTTGCAATCTGCCCACACTCTCAAACACTGTTTGCAAGCATCAGTTCCAAGCCCTTGGCTCCTCGGCCCCTTTTCCTATGTAGGAAAAGGAAGAGATGAGCAAAGGTGAAATGTAAGGATGTAGTTCTTCACTAAAGTCATTCTAAAATTAGTAGTTTCAGCAATTTAATTCCCACTGTGAGAAAGTCTTTGAAAAATCACTCCACTTTTGAAGACTATTTGCAATTCAAGACTTATTCTGGGCAAAATTTGTACTTGGTTGTTTTTTCAGTAAGATGACATTTTCTATGCAAGAAACAGCATTTCCTGCACATAAAATAATATTCCTGCATGGAAATATAATTTCCTACCAGAAAATGAAGTATTTTTTCACAAATCATCTTTATGCAATTTTTTCCCACAATAAGTCCCAAATTGTGAAGATTCTCATCAGTCCAGACTGAATCTGCACTGCAGAAATAATGCAGTATGACACCACTTTAACTGTCCTGGCTCAATGGCATGGAGTTCTAGGATTTGAAGTTTTATGAGATATTTAACAAGAGAAAGAGTACTGGTGCTACAAGAAACTAAAAATCCTAGGATTCCCTAGCATTGACTCACGGCAATTTATGTCGACCTGCATTATTTCTGCAGTGCATTCAATGCAAGATTCTTCCAATCAGATTTCTTGGACACTAAGAAGACATGCTTTTTTTTTTCTTTTACTATTTTCAGTTATTTTCAAATATTCTTTCTATTCCTAAACTGAGTTTTCACTATGGTAAAAACTAGAGAGCACTCCTATACTTTCAATGGCTGTGTAGAGGGATGAATTTCAACAGGTGCAACCAGGAAACAAATGACTCCTGTTGAAATTCCCTCATCTTCACAAACATTAAACATACAGGTACTCCCTTCAGTTTTCAGTATGGCAACTCTAGTTTCCCCTCAAAGTACCAGGTGGAAAATATCCACCGTAACAGTGTTGAGACTGAGATGATGATAGTTTATCCACCACAGTTATTCATTCATTTGCCTTCTTAAGGAGTGGTACAATGAAGGTCTTGAAAGCAATGTTACGCTAATATACAAGTGAACTTGGCAGCTAATTTATTTTTTGCCCTTTGAATATCATTAAGCTACAGCTTTGATTCATCTTCAATCATTGTAAATACTATGTAAATAACATGAAGATGGAAAGTTGCCTGTACTTCAAAGAATGTAAACATCTAGGCTGCAGTAGTCCAGACTTTTGCTTTATAAATACATGAGACTATTTCATAGTTCAAATCATGCCAACATGTGATAAGTCTCTAGTTTGAGACAATATTGTGTAGGAAAATTTGTAATCTTTGCAGACAATGTCAGATATGTCAATTTTCCATATAGTAAATTACACATATTAAATTAGGGACTAGACAAAGGGCCTTTGAAGACTGCCAGAAATAGTGCAAATTGAGTCCACTTTAACTGCCCTGACTCAGTGCTAGGGAATCATGGGAACTGTACTTTATTGTGGCACCAGAGCTCTCTGACAGAGAAGGCTCAATGTCCTAGAAAAAAATACAGTTCCCATGATCCCTTAGCACTGAGCCAGGACAGTTAAAGTGGTTTCAATTTGCACTATTTCTGGCAGTCTGCATATGCCCCCCCCCTCAAAAAAATGCTATTTGGGTGGTTCCATGTCCATGTCCATGTCCCCATATAGGCATGATTGATTCCAGAGATGGCTGTATCTTAATTCAGCCTTCCCTAACCATTAGCTATGTTGGCCTGGGCTAATGGGAAATGGAAACAAAAACATTAGAGAGAATAATGGTAGGGAAAGCTGTCTTCAGGATCCACTCTCGCTAAAGACCATACAGCTAACCTTTATGCACTTATCTGTAGATTCAGTGTTTTGAGAGTAAAGCAAGATTAACTTGTTGTCTCTCCCATTGACCTTATGTATTTATCTGGAAGTCAGAGTAGAATCTATAGGAAAAGGCAGAGATCTTGAGACCCTCTTGGACTACACAATTATTGCGTTGTGACTTGACTTTTACTGCCATGCCTATGGAATCTTTGCCAATGCTGGCTCCCTTGGCATAGTAATGGAGATGAACACTGCCCCCTACAGTCAGACATGACTAGGCAATCATGCCAAAGGGGGAAACCTTTACCTTTACCTATAAGCTGAACCCTATCATGGGGTTTTCTGAGAGTCCCACCCAAGCCTGAGCAGGGAATCAAACCCTAGTCTCCAGAGCTATAGTCCAAATACTCAAACCACTACATCACACTGGATCTCAGTGTAGTCGTA